GACTACATAACCCCCTCAAATATAAAACGTGATATTATAGCCCTTAAAATATCTAATAATGTTCAAATCACATCCCTAGATAGTCTTGTAGGGTTGTTTGGACACAGTGTTCCACCACACTAGCCTAAGTACCCATGCTTGCATGCAGGTCCATAGGCTGCCACCCTCAGCATACTCTTTCTAGACTTGCACCACCACCCAATGAGCACCATGGTACCCTACCACCTGCTTCTCCTCATGGCACTCCTTGACAACATTGAGCTCAAGCATTGTGCCTGCACCCTTGTCATTTGGCCCCTCCTACATCCTCGATCCCTCTTGCTTTCTTAAAACTTGAAGGACAACCCAATGGAGGACCTAGGAGGGGCCAGATGATGAGGATGCAGGCGTGGTGCTTGAGCTCAATGCTGTCGCCGGGTGTTGGGAGGTGGAGTAGGAGACAAGATGTCGCGTGCTGCTTGTGTGGGCAGTGGGTCAACCTAGATAGAGTAGGAAGGTGGAGGCATAAAATGGGCCTGCAAGCAAGTATGTGTACATAGGCAAGTGTGGCGGTACACGGTGTCCAAACAGTCCTAACAAGACCATCCAAGGGTGTCATTTCAATATTATTAGCAATTTTAAGGGCTACAATATCACGTTTTATAGTTGAGGGGGCTATGTAGTTAACCCTTAGTATAGTAGGGGGTTATTTAGATTTTTAATATGCCACGTCAGCTAAACCACCTTCGAAACCGCCTCAGGGGGTTATTTAGACGATTTTCAATAGTTTAAGGGGTATGATAGTTGGTTCTATAGATGAGGAGGTGAAGTAGAGAACCACCAATAGTCGAGGGAGTTAAGTAGACTTTTTCCAATTTAGTGGTGTTTGATATATATATATATAGGTGAAATAGAAGGCAAATACTTTGTAAAGTTCAAAGTTTATAAGAAACCAGTTGAAACAAGATGAAGGAATAATACGTAGTGATGAAGAATTAAATTTTCATTACTAGTATTCTAAAACTTGTTTGGACGATTGTCAACTTATTAGGTCCCCTGCACGACCAAGAAGGCAGGAGAAATTTGAGGTTGGACCCCTTGATGAGCGGGACCACGTACCACACGGTCTACTTAGGTTCCTCCGTTTGGTATGTCTCCACTTCATCACTAAGGATCTATTCTGATGCATCCCTCTAAACTTACTTCTAAACTTTAGACCTAAAGTCTCCAAACAGGTGGTCTGAAGTTAGCTCTAAACTTTAACCCACCTCACATTAGAGCTTTAACGCTCAAAACTGAGCTAAAGCGCTCTAAAGTTTTTAGAGCTCTAAAGTTTAGAAAAGGGATCCAAATAGGACCTAAAGGGAAAAAAAGGTTTAGTAGTTTTTTCCTAAGAGAAGAGCCTATATTGGTTACTCAAAAATAGAGTTACATTCTTGAACAACCATTTGCTCTAGACACTTTAGGTACTGTACCACTAAACGGCTCCTTCCAGAAGGGCTTTGGTGGGTAACAAATTGCTAGAATGGTGTCACTTAGTTTCAGGACTCATGAATATAAACTACATGAGGGAAGAGATACATTTATTTGGGGTTGCACAAAATGACCAACTTATGTCAATTCTATGTTCAAATTCCTTGTCAAGAACAATTCCTAGGTGACTAATAAAGAAATTTGGAATATGACAACACTTTTGAAAATTAAGGTTTTTATGTGGTACTTAAAAAGGGACTTATTATCACAAAAGAAAATTTAGCAATAGTAAACATGCTACTTTTTGTAGACATGATAAAACCGTAACATCTCTTTTTAAAATGTCATTATAAAATTTCCTATGGCATGATGTTTTATATACTTTCATAATTAGAGCACCTAGAGACTTAAATGATTTATTTAATCTCTAGACTTTGCAAGGGGGTGAAAGTAACATTTTCAAGCCGTCGACAGAAACGTTAGCAATTTGTTGAAATGAAATGGTATGTAACATGTGGAGATCAAAACAAGCTTTTTATGTAACATATGGACAGTACATTCACCATTGAAGAAGAGATTGAGTCGTACGTCTGCCTCCCTCTACAGACCCCATCATCTATGCTGGCCCCAAGCTCAGGGAGTCCAAGACACCAAAGCCGGTGTTCACGCCGAGGCGCAGTGAACGCCTTGCCACGAAACCCCGTGCGGCCAACTCCACGCTCCAGGAGAACATTCTTATGCAGAAGTTTGGTGTCACCGTCAACATCAACACCAACACTGTGGACACCGAGGCCTGTGAAAAGTTTCAAGCGACCTTTGCGGCCCCTTTGTTGGCCTCCAAGCAGGAGGCATTGCAGGTGCTGTTTTCGGGCGAATTCGACCCGGTGGCCATGAACCTTGATCTGGCCGGGCTTGACAACGAGGCTATTTAAGCCGTGTGCTCACCTGATCTGTCGCTGATTTGGTTTCCCAATGGCGTCAACAACGTGTTTCTGTTGGAACGTGCGAGGCCCCAATGCTCGCGCACGTCGCATTGTCGTTACAGAGTTCGTTGTCCACTACTTCGTCGTTGCAGCTCGCCAGCTCGATCGGGGGAGGGCCGACGACTGGTGCATGGCGGTTTTCTGACAGAGGCGGTGGCTCCTATCGGTGCACTAATTGCCTAGGAAGGCCGCTCATTGTCTTCATGTCGCAAAATACACTGTGTAAATCACAACCATGTGTGACTCTTTCGGTCACTAGTCTCGGTAATCTTTGGATTACCGTGGCCAGCTTAGGCTGTAACAAACTCTTCTTCTGCTTAATGAAAAACATGCTTGAGGCACGATCGAGAAAAAAAAAACCATGTACGTTGCTAAAGTCAACCAAAATCCTTGGCCACGACCGGTGTACTTTTATCTGATAGCAAACATGATTGAGATGTTGCCACTACCATGGCCACCTGATCCAAGTAAGATTATAGCTGGTAATGGTATGGTAGTCTCTCCTCTTATTGCAATTATGGATTGTAATTGCATAAATGGAGCTGGAGAAATGGCTAATGAGGGCATCTTGATTCACCCAGTATGGAGAAATTTCTGCAGCTGCCTTCTAGGCGGCTGCTTTGTGATTTATACCACCAAGTCAAGGGAAGAAGATATTCATGCCCTGATTATAGGAAGTTGTACCGTTGATTTTAATGTTATCAATGAGATATCAGGTATACTACTATCAGAAAGGTTAATAGACAGTGCACCAAACAAGCCATCTCAATTGAGTTACAATGGTGACATATCTAATTCTCTAAGAACGTTTGTTCTACAATCCTTGGTTCATTCAAGAAGCCTTTCAGAAAGTTTGCTTCAATTGATTATTTGGCATGGCTACAACCAGGAGTTCTTCAGCCAGAGCTGTTCCCCACTGGAATATTCCAGTCAAAAGAATCTTGAGCTTCCTGTGAAAACATTGAAAATATATGGAACTGTATTTTGGGAAGGGATCAATACTCATCGAAAGGGTAGCACAGTTGCAAGAGCCTCAAATTGGGTTGGGTTAGACCAAGTTAAGATCAATGCTTCAGGTAGCCAACAACTAAAGGGTGAACAATGATGAGTTAATACATGGGCCTTCACATGTGTGCCTGAAAATTGTTGTACTGGAATGCTTGATTTCTGAAGTCACCTTGCTATGCAATATAATTTGGCTTGGCAATGCAAATGTGGCAGTTCCAAGTACCAAAGATTCATGACTTGGCTCACTGATAAGGATACTAACATCAATGTGTTAGTGGGTCAGAAGGTTCAGAAGCACAATAATCAGCAAATTTTCTCAGGGCCAGGAGAGGGATATCTCTTGGTTGTGATGAACAATACCAAGGTGGTCACAAGCAACTGGGTCCACAGGGAAGTGCTACAACTGCTCTCTGCCACCATGGTACTACAACTCTTTATTACTGGTAACAAGTTTTGCAGGAGTGAGTTGATACAATTCAGTTGGGATCCTGGTGACCTTTACAGCAGCGGCTTGGAGGCAAGCCGCGTTTTAAGCGGTGGGGAATGTCATGGACTAGGGTTGCCAAATGGGTCTGCCATGGACTGGACTGCGAAATGGACTTGAGTTAGAGAAATATGCTGCTACAAAAAAAAAAGCCAAAAAGCATGAGGTAAACGGCATCGAATGGAAGAGAACAGAGAACTCCCAACTCATCTTCCTCCTCCGTCCCACGACTCTATCCCTGGCTGCCTCTAGTTCTTGTTGTTCCTATCTAATTCCTCCCGATTCCTCTCTCTCTCTGTATCTTGAATATAATTGAGTATTCTTGCCTGTACATTAAGGCGGTTCCGATCCGTGACAATATTGTAGGCCTCATTTTGGTGCGAAACTAAATACCTTCAAAAATACATTTGTCTCGTGATATATGCTAGTAGCTGCAAAATCGACGTCATATTAAACTAGAAGAGACATTTTAAAATACAAAATATGCACTGACACAACCTGTGAACTAATTGAAAAACGCGTACGATTTGACTAATTACTGGCTCAACTAATCATCATACGTACACTAATAACAACCACAGCTTATTTGACCAAAAAAAGAGAAATAGTTAACACAGCTCCTAATTAATAAACTATATATCACCCATTTTATACTTGTCGTCGGCAGAAATAATGGAATGTATTATATATTGTTATTATTATTATCCACGCATGTTTTTTTTTTCATCCAACAAGGGCCGAGAAATAAAACCAAGAACCGGGCCCCGCGTTAGCCCAGCCCAGCCCAAAAGTAGCGTGCGTGTGTGGATATAAATCGTCGCATATACCGCCGTCCTCTCTCTCTCTCTCTATATAGGTGCAGTGTAGACGAGCACGTACATATCGTACGTAGCCTAGGAGGTGGCACTTGGCACGGCAACTTCCGTCACCTCCGCGCTCCGCGCTCCTAGCTAGCCTCCTCTCCTCTTGTTTCGGAAGTGGAACAACCCTCCTCCGCCTCCGCGGCTGCGACTTGAGAAGAAGGGAATACGAAACGAGGGACGAGGGAGCTAGCGGCCGGCGGCGCGGGGGGCATGGATGCGGCGGTGGCGGAGGCGAGGGAGCGGCTGCCGGCGAGCTTCGCGTCGTGGCGGACGCGGCCGGCGGCGTGGCGGGAGGCGCAGCTGCGCGGCCTGCTGCGGATGGCGGCGGAGATGGAGGCCGACATCTGCGCCGCGCTCCGCGCCGACCTCGCCAAGCCCCAAACCGAATCCTACGTCCACGAGGTATGTTTCTGTTGTGCGCAGATTATTAATTCAAGAGTACAGGAGTAAGTATATGCGTAGTGTACTTGTATTTGATATAATTATTGGAGAATTAATAGCTGCTCGTTTTTATGATGCCTTTAGATATCGCTGGTCACAACCTCCTGCAAGTTTGCTCTCAAGAATCTCAAGAAATGGATGAAGGTAGCCCCAAAAGGTACTGTACTAGCTATCTACCTATCTGTTGTATGTGCGTAGTACGTGTCCACGCATTCTAGGCATGGAATGAACAGACCTCTGATCAGCCATATACACATGCATCCCCCCCCCCCCCCCCACAAACCATCCGGCTTGAGCCTTCTTCTAAGAAGGAGGATCAATTCAAACTTGTAGCATACTCATAATTAAAACTTAGTTACAAGTTCAGGACTAATTATCAAGATAGTAAATAAAGGACCATCCATGCTATAGTCTTTAGGACTAAACTTTTTTACCGCTAGTTTCTCTTGCTATCTATAATATATCATCACATATAGAAACTAAAGTTTGATCATTAGAAAATATTTGTAAATACGAATCCACTTTTGTAGCACAAGCTTTCAATATGTAGATTCTTTCGTCCTCTTCGTTTGGGCTTGTTTGGCTTATAATATATCATCACATATAGAAACTAACAGTTTTTCATTAGCACCAAATCAATGAATACGAATCCACTTTTGGCTTATCACAAACAAGCCCAAGCGATGTAGATTAATTGTTGGCCAAATCTTTTTTTTTCTCGATCACGCAAAAAGGTTTGTGCGTCTTTGTATTAAGATAGAGAAAACATTTAACACAACACGCCTTTGCGGGGCCCTATGTAGTCAGAAGAGTAGTACATGGATGCTCGGACCCTCTCTAGTGTACTTAAAGCTATGTTGTTATATTGGACAATGATCAACCCGACTTGTGAAGCCGGCTAGGAGGCCTATGCCCGGGCTACCGCGTGGCGGCAGCGCTGCTTGTGTGGACTCACGTCGTCGTCCATGGGAACAACTCACGTAGCGCTTGCATATTACCGGGGGTCACCGCTATAGATTTCTTCGTACGCCTTCAGGGCCGACGTCGACGATGATGACATCTCGCTGGTTTAGTCCCAGACGCTTCAAGACAATGTGCTCACCTCGCTTGGACGTCGAGATATGCGATATACTCTGCGCCGCTATCCGCTTGCTCCTCTTGGGGGAGCGCGGGCGGTGTATGTCCGGCGTGGACCGTATCGACACCGGGCAGCTCCAGGAGTGGCGGCGGCTGCCTCACCTATGTGATTCGCTTGGTGAAGCGCTCGAGGCGTCTGTAGGCTTTGTTAGTCAAAATTGAATCTTCAAATATATACTTTGGGATATATAGAGGGAGTATTTTTGTAACTGAGAACTATCTATATATGTTGTTACGGTGGACAGGCCCTAATAGGTAATCACTCGTGTCATAACTCACAAATAATGTACACTGTACACATTTTGGATAACTATGCAGTTTCGAGAAGTAGTCCTCGTTTGTTGGTCATTAATTTCGATTGGAAGTTATTAGAACATACAGTCAGTTAGTTAGTTAGTTAGTTACGGCATGTTGACATCTAATAAATTAATCAAGCATCATAAATACAAGTGCACTTAGTCTCAAGATGCACCTGTGCAACAACTCTCATCGCAGTGTCTAGCAACAAATGAATTCAAACCCTAGTACGTGTTGCATAGCAGATGCCACGCACAAATTGTAGAGTGTCAATCAATGTGTAACAACCAAAAACCTCCACACCAAAAATCACAACTACAAAATTTTTGTTTAAACCCTACATGATGATGAGTGACACATGTAGAAGCCAAACCCTAGTTTTGGAATTAGATGTGACCCAATTAGATTGAAATCATAAGCATAGTTTGGTTTTATGCCACATGTGTAATTAAATTCCTAAATAAACAAATCATGCATGCATCCTTAATTCCACTTGTGATTTGGATTATTTTGCCTTATGTGATGTTTAACTAACTTACTTAATATTTATGATAAACCCTAAATAATGAATTATTTGTTGGAAGAATAAAACACCCCTATATAAAAACTTCAACTATTTTTGGTATAACAAAAATAGCCAATAATCCCTAATATATGGGATGTATTTTAACCACCATTTAAAACACCTTGTGGGACCCACTAAATGACTCGAAGCTCAAGTTTAAACTCTAACTAAATTTGAATCAAAGCAAAAGAAAGAAAAGAGAAACAAACAGAAAAAGAAAAGGAAAAGGAGGGAGCGCATGAAATTAGGCCTGCTTTCGGCCTTAGATGAGCTCAACCCGCCGAGCCCTTTGCCTGCCTCCCTTTCAGCGCAAGACGCGCCCACCCAGCGGCCGCCCAAGAACACCCTACCGCCCACCACAAGACACAAGCCACCGACGACGAGCCGGACCCGCCCATCGGCCTTCACGCCCGCGACGCCGCTTGTCGGGACAAGTCGACAAACGGGCCCCCTCACACCGCGGCCGCCCGGCTCTGGCGTCGTCGTCTTCCCCCACTCCCTCCACCACGCGACCGGGCCGCCGATCATGCGAGCAAGCGTGCCCGGGTCACGCACATCGCATGACCCTGTCCCCCACCTTAGCGCCAGCCACGCAACCACCCCGCAAGACGCGAGAGTCCCGATGCGCTCGGCGCATCACCAGCCGTTCCGCCATCCGCCATGGATGAGCATGGACCTCGGCCTATAAAAGGGAGGACCCAGAGTGCCCTAGGATTCTTCAGCCCACCGCCGCCGTTCGGTGGCCCAATTGCCCGCACCACTCCGAGAGAAGAGGGCCGAGAGGAGGACCCGGCGGAGGGAGGCGAGCTGGGAGCTCGGAGCGCCGCCCCGAGCACCTACTCCTACGACGCGGCTTCCACCGCTACACGGCCGCACCATCATCACCACACCGCCACTCCGCACCGCCAAGCACACCGCGGTGAGCACCTTGGCTGAGACCTCCTCCTAGCCCCATGGACGCCGAGCACGCACACGCGCCAAGCACGCCGTGGCGACGTCGAGCCGTCCCGGCTCGAGCACGCCAACGCAAGCCACACACACGATGCCCTACATGCACGCACACGAGCACGCACGGGCGCGCACACCGCAGCCACGAACACGGCCGTGGTGAGACCACTGCGGCCGCATCACCGCGGTAGAGGTGACGCCACCACCTTGGCTGGCTCCTCCTCGCTGCGGAACACGCCACACTCGCAATCGAGGTAGACGAAGGCCACCGGAGGACCCCCGTTTGACCACACTGCGCCGCGGCCGGAGCGCCGCCGCAACCGCTTCGACTCCACCGTGGCCAGGACCGCTGGGAGCGCAAGGTGCCTCCTTGTCTCACCCGCCCTGTTCACTAGAGCCATAGGAAGCTCACGCGCCCCGCCAAGCATGCTCCCAGCCACCACATCGCCCTGCCGCCATCGAGCACCGCCACGCCGAGCCGCCGTTCACCGTGGCCAGAGCTCTAGGAAGCCCTAGCCGTCGCCCCGACCCCACCGTCGTAGTCGCCAAGGCATGGGGAAGCTATTGCCTACCCTAAACGGACGCTAGCACCGCCACGGGGGCTCGCCGATGACCTCACCACCGGCGGGAGCACGCCGGGGAAGAAGATGGGGATTTTCCCCTCGCCGGCCACACGTCCATGCACTTGGTGCACGTGAACCGAACCCTGGGAAGGAGTAAGTGGACCAAGTCCTTCATAGATTGGCTCTGCGGTCTATGGACCAACGTAGGCGGGTTCACCATGAACCGCGCCTCACCTGTCAGTCACCGTTTGACCCTGGACCCACCTGTCAGTGACCAACCGAGATGATGACATCATGCTGACGTCAGCGGGACCCACCTGTCAGCTGCGGTTTAGCTCTGATGATGCCATGCTGACGTCATGCCGAAGATGAGACCACGCCAGCGTCGGGACCTCGGCGATCTCTCCGACCACCTCGGCGAGCTTTCCGACCACCTCACCAGCTAATACACCACTCCAAGTCCCTACATGCCACGTGAACCAGTCACAGTGTGACACGTGTCAGCCCTGAATTAATCAGCCTTTATTATTTTCAGAAATGGATTTCATCTTCAAAAATTCGTAACTAATTCATACGACCTCAGAAAAATATGAAACCAGGACCAAAATTCATCTAAAATCGAGCTCTATGCAATGAACCCATGTTTGAGTGTATTTGGCTCTTTTGAATTTTTATTGCTTCTTTGTGCTATTCTATAGACGTCGCTAACGCAACTATAATTCGATCGTATGCAGACTCGGAGAAGAACCAGACGGACGAGGATCATGAGTACCGTGAGAAGTGTGGGGACGACTTCACTGAAGGTGCCACATCCCACCCAACCTCGTAGCACCTATTACGCATGGCTAATATAGAACTGCTATTGCTTTACTTTATTGTTATATTCACACTAAGATAGGACTTGCATGGTAGTATGCTTACTTGATGGCCTTTACCTTGACGCAACCTTACCCCTGCTTACCCTGCTATTAGGCTAGACACACGCTTGCTGCTATATTTCATTGCTTATTACTTCTACTACGCTTGTACTACATTGATGCGTGGTGGAAACTGGTGTTATCTGGACTATGGGGAGAGTGCTGCGTGTGTGACTTGGGTGCGTGGAGGGTGAGGGTTGTGTCGACCAAGTTGGAATATATGACGAGCCTGGGGCAAGTCTTGCCGTGGGGTGCTACCTGGGCACCCCTGGAAATGGATACATGTGATGGGTAAATGGTATATGAGGTGGCCCTGGGTGTGAACCTGTGATGGGAGGAGCCCGGGGTGGAGGTGCTGTGGTGGCACGGTAAATGGAAACCCTGATGAAGACATTCTGGCTTGGTCATCCCTAAGGACTTACTAGTACTCAGATTCACCGGGAAGCCTTACGTACCACTCGCCCTATATGGTGCGGGACGGCCAGACTACTTGGTAGGATATTGCCACTACTGCTAGGTTGATAGCGGACAGTGCGAGGGAGTTACGGGGCGTGGAGGATTCCCCCCACATCCTTCCGAGACTTCATGGAGACCTTGTGGACCCGGCTCATGACTCACAGTTTCAGCCACCCCAGACTAGACTTGGGGTGTACCAGGGCTAAATGGTAGAGTGGCATTATCCTAGGCTAGCAAGCGGCCGGAATCAGCCCAGTTGACGACGGTCAGCGAAGAAGGCGGATCTTGTGGTTATGTAAAACCTCTGCAGAGTGTATGGTTGATCGATCGATACA